TATGGGAAACTATCTTAAAACAAACTAAAATCTTTCATTAGCACAGCATTAATAATATATATGGTCAATTTGCTTCATAATGCAAAATGCATAAAAGAACTTGAGCTAATAATGTAACATTTCTATTAAACTTTTAAGAACAATATTTCAGCAAATTACATACAATTATTATGCATAATAATTATCACTTGAAATAAGCACGTAAGACCAAGAGAATATGATGTGGAATTTGAAAAATATACTCTAATTTTTTAGGAATATAACTAGTTTAATCCAAGCAATTAATAACTATTAACAAAGCAATCTCTAAAGCTAAGACAATTACTACCCTAAAAAGTAGATAATTGCACTAGACAATTTAGCAAAGTACACCTTTATGTTAAGACTCAAAATCTTCTGCATTTTAGGAAGAAAAAAAAGTTTATTCTCACAAGAATTTTTAAAGTGGAGAACTCAAACCCAGCACAGAACCCCTCTCTAGAGCTTCACTGCCATGGTAGCTATCTTGAAGAAAGGGGTTTGCTTGGGATTTAAATGTACCATTTTTTTTTTCCACAGCTATACAGCTCAAGCATCTCAAGGTGTCTAACAAAGATAGGTACATCTGTATATTCAACATTATAGTAGCACTCTATTCTAAGACAAGAAAAATAAAAGTACTAGGCCAGGCATGGTGGTTGATGCCTGTAATCCCAGCACTCTGGGAGGCCAAGGCAGGTGGAGTGTGTGCTCACAGGTTCTAAACGAGCCTGAGCAAAAGTGAGACCCCTACCTCTTAAAAAAAAATAGCCAGGCGTGGGCAGCACCTGTGGCTCAAGGAGTAGCATGCCAGCCCTATATACCGGGGGTGGCAGGTTTGAGCCTGGCCACGGCCAAAACTGCAAAAAAAAAAAAAAAAGCCAGGCATTGTGGCAGGAGTCTATAGTCCCAGCTACTCAGGAGGCTGAGGCAAGAGAATCACTTGAGCCCAAGAGTCTAAGGTTGCTGTAAGGCATGATGCTACCGAGGGTGCCAAAGTGAGACTCTGTCTCAAAAAAAGAAAAAAAGAAAGAAAGAAAAGTGCCTCTGCCACGGCACTCTACCCAG